TTACTAAGATCACTTACTAAGATCCTTAAGCCTACAGGACAGAATGTACCTCCTAGGCCATCTCATGTGGTTGGTACATCATCAGGGAGTTGGAATTAATAGGATTCAGGCATTTCAATGAGCTTCTATTCATTCTCCCTCAGAAAGGTACAGAATTCAGGGAAGCTAATTTTGATTGAGAATCAAATCACCTGAATGTACCTCACTGACTGGAGGTAAAGACTTTGCATCTCTCTTTGTTTGTGGCAGGTTACCTCAGAGCTTTTTAACAGAGAGGGGTTCTTTTTTTCCTGCATGTAATTTTCCTTGTTTTGCTAAAAGTAACATGAATAAATAAATAACCTGAACAGCGCTATAATGAAGGATCAGCAGGTTAATTGGAAAGATAAGTGGAAAGAGATTGTCCCCTCTCCTGCTGAGCACCTGCTGCCAAGTTAATTCATGCAGCAGTGCTGGAGGTTGTTCCTGGAGGGGATTCCCACAGTTTTGGCAGCTATGGATAAGGGGAACATCCACAGAGAGGAAAAAGTGAATCAGATAAATTGAGCTTATTGTTAATCAGCTGCTAGGTTTTATTTTCGAATTCTGATAACCAGCTAAAATGAGAGTCAGTATTCTTCACTCAGGAGTCACATCTCCAGCAACATCAAGGTATATTTACTTTAGGGGATAGCATAGAGGGGAAGGAATTTGTTGCTAAACAGAAATTCACAAGGCAAAATTGAGTACTTGCCATCCACTGGCAAAAAAATTCCATTATTTCATTTTGCTTTTCTTATTGACTACTTCTGATTGCTAGTTTCTTTCCAGGCACAACAAATTGAACTTTAATCTAGCACAGCAGTTTTTAACAAAACAAAAGAAAAACCAAAACAAAACCACAAAAAAACCCAAAACAAACCTCTGCTAAGAAAGGAAGGTTTATTCTCTTCTCCCCTTGTCTCACATCTCTCCTTACATAGTACTAGCTATTCAACAGTGCAACTTCTTTTACTCTTAAATATTTCAGCTAATATCCCAAATATCTTGCTTATCTTTTACTTAACCTGATGTGTTTTGAACTTGAATTGATAACCATTAATGGGACCAGGTAGTTTCTATACTCAGCATAGCTTCCCTGATGGGAAGAAATGGGCACTTTGTTTTCTCCATCCCTCTTCCTTTTGTTTATGCCACCCACTTATATTTGTCTCTTTATAGTGTTTTACCTTTTAAGCTTTTCTTTACTCTCTGATTCTGGTTTATTAGAATTTTCTGAACCAGGCACAGTAGCAGTGAGATTGTCAGAAAGCTGGAAGGGATCTGAAGCTGTCACCAACAGAAGCAGCTTCTTTTCTGCATCTCTTCCCCAAAGCAGATGCCTTACCGCTTTTGAATATCTATAAAGAGCAGGGATGCTCGGGCTCAGCATATAAATCCTGTCCTCCAGCTTGGATGGAGAAGGACTGTACCGGGCTTATGGGAAAGAACAGGCTGTATCAGTACAGGTTTCTAGAGCACAAGAAGTCGCTATATAACTGTAAAAGTCTCTAGAGTTCTGAATAAATGACTACAGATGTGACACTTCTGAGGGAGATTTGTCTCAAAGACAGAAAGAGCTGGAAATTGAGCCCCAAGTATTTTTTTTCCTTAAAAAGTTAAAGCAAAAGGGTGCAACTGTTGCTGAAGAAAGAAAAATGGACAGATAAATTTATTTTTCAGTGTTTGAAAATGGGCGGTGTGCAGGAGAAAAAGAATGCATCAGGTAAAAAATTTACCTTTTGCACATTACAATAGATGTGGCAGTCACTCTACTTTGGTAGAGCTATATACACTGACATTTTGGAAAATTTAGCCACAATATTATTTTACTAACACTTTTCTCCTAGTTCTTTGCAATCCAGCTGGAAAGCATGTATGACACTGGAAGTGTTTTAACTTGCATATGCGTGTATCTAAATCTCTGACACATTCAGCCAAGAATTGCAGTTTTTGCTTAATTCTAAATGTGTGCTAATTGTTGACTTAAAACATAGTTGACTTTTCCACTGCGTCATAGTGACACATATGACTCTGGGTATCATCAAGGAGTTTGGTCCTATTTAAGTTGTCAGAATTCTTAAGAGCTTATACCTGAAATTTATCTTCAGTAAATACATATGCTTCTGCTAATTTTAAAAAGGGCACAAGGAAGGACTAGACTATTTATTTAGCTGCAGGGTGCCATCTGGTTTCGTGTGACAGTTTCTCCTTTGAATAGATAAAAACTCAGGATACCTGAAAAGAAAAATTAGGAATCCTTTTTGTTCTGCAAAAGTCACCTTACACTGTTTTATGAAATTGCCGATCTTTAGGTTGATCTTCATGTGTTATGTACTCTAAATGCTATTAAAAATGCCAAAATGATTACATAACCTGCAATTTAAATTATATTAATAACCTCTTCAGGCTGCATAAGTGTGATTGGTAGGTGATTCCACCATGGAAGGAATACAGTAAGACTGCAAAATCAAAGACCCTGAACTTCAGAAGATTACTTGAAGTTCAATTGCTTAGTTACTGAATGAGAAAACAAAAACTTCTTTGTTTTCTTGTGTGAGACAATTACGCCGTATGCTTAATATCAAATAATCTTTTTTCATCCTTTATTTTATGGCAGTAAGGAATTAACTATAGGAGTTACCTACTGAGTGATGTCTTGATTAGGTTCAGAACATGACAAAGTTTAGTAACATTTTATTCTGTAATCCTTATATTCTGTAACTACCTTTATTCCTTATACGTCCTTAATAAGAAGGACTTAAAGAATAAAATACAGCATTTTAATTTTATATTTTTTTGAATGTGAAAAATGTCTACAGTATCAACTTCATGAATGTTTTCCCCTTCCTCCTGCTCTACATCTTCCTCTGTCTTTTGTACTTCAGAGACTGCCAGCTGTTTTGAGCATACACGTGTCTTTTCTGTTGGGGCAGTGATACGTGCTATACAAATACCATGGGCTTCCAGAAATGTTCCTGGTGAACACAAATTAAATTTCTAAACTATTTCATGTTTTCAAGTGAATACCTGGCCAGTAACAAGATCAAAGTAGATACAGAGCTTTCTTACAGTCACTATATGTATATGTATACATCATACACTTCAGGAACCTTTTTTTTTGTTTTAAACTCAGGAATTGGGTCTTTGTTGTATCTGTCATGTGAACACTGCCTGTCTTTCAAGTCTTTTCTCCCTTGTGCCTGCCACATAACTCTTAGTCATTTCTTTTCTTCCATAGAATGCCATTTAGTGATTACATGTGCCCTTTTTGTAGCATAAAATATCAAGAAGCTTACTTTTTTCCATGATACTCCAGGAAAATTAATTTTGGTAGCACAGAGGAGGGGAGATTAATGAAATACAATCTCTTTCTCCTGGCTTTTTTTTAAATTGTCATTGAAATCCTCAGTAACACACACACATATTCCTATTTGGTGTACGTGTCAGAATCTTTCTACTAATTTGTGGTGTTATTTTTAATGGAAGAACACAAAAAACAAACTAGTAAAAGTCAACATGCACTCCATTTGTATATATCTCCTAATACTGGATTATTTTTTTTAATTATTCCATGCAATAAAGCAGTAAAGTGAATATTTAAGTATGTAAATAAATCAAAGTGTTTTGTATATTTGACATGCTCACTAATTGAAGGTTTATATCTGACCATTCTGGCACATACAAGATCATTGATATTTGTTAGTATATTGTTAAATGACTAGAATTTATAATTTTTGTGACTATACACAATTATTACCCTAAATAAAATCAACTCATTTCTTAATTGATTGCAAAGATCAATTACAATTAATAATATTTAAAGTACCACATGTACCACATTATACATAACTATTCAAAGAGTTGCAATATAAGCATTTTGATGGTGAACTGAAAACTGAATGACTATGAGGAGTCTGCATATACGAAAAAGGGAGAGGATGAAAAAAGCATATATAATTCATGAATTAAATGTTCAGCTTTATATACATAGAAAAGGTAGGCGTCTGCATTTGCCACTAAATGGACTGTGTCCTACTACTGGCACAGCCATATTTGTTGTGTTTAACTCTGAGGCTAAGCTTAGGTGGCTAAACAGATCTCTACTGGCATCCTTTAAGTTCAGCTTAACGCTATACTGAAATAGTGTTAAGCCATTATGAAGAGGAAAGAAATTGCAACTGTACTTGGGCAACTCCCTCATCTCCCCGTCTTTGTTTTACTGCTGCCTGTATTCTTCTGACCACTGTTACCAGCTTAGTGCATAGTAGTGTTATAAGAGCTGATAAGTAACTTTATGTCTGGGTAGCATGCCATGTAGTCAACGTGCCTCTATATGTTTCTAAAATTAAGTATCTGCATATGTGTGCAGAGGTCATTTCCTGTGGCTGCTTTCATAGGAGAAACATTCTGTTGTGGTTTATTCTCTCTTCATGACTGAGACCCAATAAATGTTTAGGTCATTGAAAATTAGGCCTACAGCTTTTAATACATTCAGCTTTTCCTTTGTTTGTATTTATATTGCTTCTTAGAAGAGTCTTTTATAGCAGGGCAAAATATTTTGCAATTTGTGCTTATAATGCACAGAACACCTGTTTTAATTGATGGATGCACTTTGTTAAGTTTGGATTGCTTTAACATTTAATTTCTATCTTTGTTGTACTGGTTGTATTTTTATGACTGTGTGACTTGAAAAACGATGGTGAATCATGCTGGGAAGACGTCTGTAGGGATGTATGCAGAGAAGAAAGTGAGGGGATGCCATTATGATCATACTACACGACACAAGCAAATGTTACACTCATTTATTTGGAGCATTGGCAGCCAGACAGGAAGGAGGACTTCTGTGTCACGTGCTGCTAGGATGAGTTTAATAAAGTGCATATGTGTTTGTACAGAGGTTTTCTGAAAACATTAAGAAAAAACTGTGGTTTTAGCAGTTACTTTGTGTGTTGAAACAATGCAATTTTTCCCTTTTCCAGATAATACTCTCAGCATATTGGCAAAGCATAGTGGATTCAGCCGTCAGAAGCAAGAAGTATATCTACTGCCAATCATAATAAGCGATAGTGGAAATCCTCCCATGAGCAGCACTAGCACTCTCACCATTCGAGTCTGTGGTTGCAGCAGTGATGGTATTGTCCAGTCCTGTAATGTTGAAGCCTATGTTCTTCCCATTGGACTTAGTATGGGAGCCCTAATTGCAATATTAGCCTGCATCATTTTGCTGCTAGGTATGTATTCATTTCATAGCATGTTGTTCAAAATTTTTTCCTCACTTCTGCAGGTGAGTGAAGAAGTCACATAGAAGGACATGGCATCTAATACAATGTAATGTGCAGCAGTACTGAGAGACCTCTCAGAACTGCATCCCTACTGCACTAAGAATTAAACAAAAGCGTATAAAATAAAGTCCCAATCTGAAGTAGTCTGACACACAAGTTACATAATAAATAGGTATGGAATATGAAACCAAAAATCCAGTCAGGTATGGTAAGCAGCAACATGTACCCAGGATATACTGCAGATGATGGAAAATGGATTTATTGTGCCTTCTAAGACTTGTATTCTTCATTCTGGATTGTAATGGCATAAGAGACATTACAATTTTACAAGAGAAGAAGCACTGTATATTTTAATAAAACATAGAAAATTTGTATTTGACATCAAGCAAGGGAGAGAACAGTGAAGGAAGAAGCCTATTTCTGTGCTTTGCAGCTTCACTTTGTAACTGAGATTTACATCAGTAACTGAGATTTCAGCATTAACTGCAAAAAACAACAGTGTAACCAAATTAGAGCTTTTTATGCATCTGTCCATGATTCTGAAACTGATGTATCTAAGCTCTTTCTTTCTCCCTTCCTGTCTCATTCTCTTTTCAGTTTTATAGTGTGAGCCTGTTGCAATACACAGAAAAAAAAAAGACAGCAATTTCCTTCTGTCATCAGGGCTATGTTTTCAGAAAAACTCGCTCTAATTTTGGAAACTTCCATCCATAATGTAGATCATTTTAGACCATGTTCACTGAGTGATATCTTGACTTCACCTAGTTTTGTAGCTCATCCAAAAGGAAAAGTTGTTGTCTAAACTCGAGGCTTAAAAATGGAAGTATGCAAAATCTTAGTCCTTATATAAAATTGAGCTTCAGATGTAAATATGAGCTGTTAATAGAAAAGCAGAGGACTAACTAGAGCTTGTGATCAAATTTTCATCATTTGAATGGGGTTGAAGTTATAGGTCTTTAAGCTTTTCACTACCCTTATTACTCTTACTTTCACAAAAAACAGTCCTTTGTCTGGAAATTTTTTACCTAATCATTCTGTGATACTTTATTTGCAGTCATTGTGGTGCTGTTTGTAACACTGAGAAGACATAAGAATGAGCCTCTAATCATCAAAGATGATGAAGACGTGAGGGAAAATATTATTCGCTACGATGATGAAGGAGGAGGAGAAGAAGATACAGAAGCTTTTGATATTGCAACTTTGCAAAATCCGGATGGAATTAATGGATTTTTGCCTCGTAAGGATATTAAGCCTGATCTTCAATTTATGCCGAGGCAGGGTCTTGCCCCTGTTCCTAATGGTGTCGATGTTGACGAATTTATTAATGTAAGGCTTCATGAAGCTGATAATGATCCCACGGCTCCACCATATGACTCTATCCAGATTTATGGCTATGAAGGAAGAGGGTCAGCAGCTGGTTCCCTTAGCTCGTTGGAGTCCTCTACATCAGACTCAGATCAGAATTTTGACTACCTCAGTGAATGGGGTCCTCGCTTTAAAAGACTTGGAGAACTTTACTCAGTTGGAGAAAGTGACAAAGAAACTTGACAGTGGATTACAAACTTTTTCACTGTTGACTTACTGAACATGTAATATTCTAGGGCCACTGCTGTTAGTTAAAACTAATGTGGCTTTTTGTTTTAGAGGCAAGTTTAGCGCCAGTCATCTATAAAATCAACTACATTGTAATGTTGAACCAAAAATAAAAAGTATATGTTAGGAGGTTAAGTCTTGTGGAGTGTGAAGTAAAGTATGTGGAGTGTCTAGAAGTCTTTGGATATTTGATATTCACTTGACCGCTCTGAAGATGGAGATTTGGATCTTTGATTATCTTCAGTGAATTGAAAAGAACAAAAAGTAATTGGTGCTTTCTTGGAAAATGGACTTGCAGGGATTTTGCTGTTGAACAGTAGTTCCTGCCAGTATGTGTAAAGCTAATTATTTGTTTCTGCATTGCCAACAAAGATCCCGCCACAGAAATGTTAAAAGCAATACCTTGGTCTTCTTAGCAATGCTGAGTAGAAATAGCATTGTAAATTCCTACTGGCTTCTACTGTGTAGTGACCATACATTGTACATACAGTAATTGTTGGCCACGTAGCCACAGACTGAATATCATCTTTAAATATTGTGTCAAGCCTTAAAATATTCACATGTTCTTAATCCATTCCAGTGATGGGTAATCAATCCTACTAATGTGCAGAGATTCAGAGGCAGGGCTACAAAACCTTGCTTTACAAAAGGATCTTTTTCTAGAAGAAGGATCAATGCTGTGCTTTGTCTTCTCAAAGGAAAGAAAAAACTGTGAAAGGGGATGGACTTACATATATGAAAGAATTGCTGATTTTATTGCTAAAGATCAAATTTATTTGTTTAATCCTTGAAATAAATATTTTGTTGATGTCCATTACTGCTTTTATTTATTAAGACTGATAATCTATAGAGTAAGATTATGAAAAAAACTAAATTATATCTGTTAGATTTTTTTTCTATATATGATGAATGTTTAATACATGTACATTTTGAAAAGAAAAATGAGAAATTGTTCTGGGTTAAAGCAGTAACCTATCCATTTGCAGTAGCTGAATTTTAAGAGAATGCTGGCAGGAATGAAACTTTCCCAGAGAAAACTTTTGACAGTTTTATATCTTCTTCATAAATCTAGTACCTGGTGTTTTTAATACAAGCACAAACAGCTGGAAGTAAACTGGTTCATGTGAATATTTAAACTATAGACTTTTAGAAATCCACACGTAACACAGTACAGTAAAAAACATGCTTATAGTTCTCCACCATATTAGAGCAGGAACCAGTGTGTACATAATTTTACTGCTTATGTTATTAGCATTTCTTTTCTATAATATTCATAGTGATGCACCAGGGCTCTTGCACACAGAGAAAGAACAACACTAGAAGCTGCAAGCATACTCAATTTGTAATGCAAACTTGCCATTTAGAAGTAGCAGTTGTATAATAAAACTACGTATTACATGCAAATCATTTTAATTTTCTACTTTGTTTTGAAGCTATATTATTGTTTGTTTATTTACTCCGTGTATTGTATTCAGAGAAACTCCTGTATTGTTTCCTACTTTGTGAAATATATTTTTATAAATACTTCTCTTGTTATTGCGCTTTTTTCAGTTTTACCTGTACACAGCAGAAAGAAATCTGCCTGAATAACTTCATAGATTGTTGAGGAATGTAGTTCCTTCAAAATCATTTATTTATTAGTTGACTAAAGTAAAAATAAAAAAGATAACGTTTGAAGTAATTTTTGACAGCGTTCGCGGAATTAGTTATGCAGCAGCTTGTGACCACAGGAGTTATGCTTGTCAAATTCACTGTGCCATGCCGAAAAATAACCTCACACTTTTTTTGTGTTAAAACAATCCCCTCTCTTTAAGCTGCTCAGTAATGTTTGTTCTGCAAACAAAACTATCTTAATGCGTCACCCCCAATTATTCCTGTATTTCAAAATGGAAACATTTTCTTCACTTCAGCTGTGGCATGGCTGGTTTTAATGACTGTAGTTTGTAGCTAACTAATACACTAACACCACTTCTGTATATACTATAAAGATTTTATTGAAATTAATGAAGTACCCATTAAGTTGCGCCATGTAAAAAAAACCAAACCAAACCCGAAACAAAACCTCTGAATAACTTTAGCAGTTTTAGTAATACTATAAACTAAACAATGAAGTCATCTAAAGATAGAAAAGAAGCAGTCATCAAGATTTCAATTAAATCAAAAATATTTATGTAACAGACTGGAATAACATCCAGGCACATTCTTAGTAATCACTTGGACCAAATGCCAGGGTTTTCTGAATTGCCATGCCAAACCAAATAGTAGTACAGATGGGAAAGTCTGATTTGAAACTTGGGCTAAGCCCATTTCTAGTCTACATCCCAGTCGTGGGAGCAAAGGAAGATGCTGTGAGATATGGATCACGTTATTGTCAAGTTACATAAGCATTTAGGGCAAGTAGCTCCGACTATGAGTTATAGTATATACTGTAAAGTTTTGCTGAGCTCTTTTGTAGGAAAACTCACAAATGCATAATCTTCTGATTGCCTTTTTGATTGAAAGTTCCGTCTGAGACCACAACAGCACATTCAGTAATAAGATTTCCAGGAAAAAAAATCCCATCACTGGCACTGTAGGAGAGGCAAAGCATGACAGAAATCTCATCATTGTCCATCAAAAAGAGATGATTGCTGCTACTGGTGGGCATAGCTGTAAATTGTGCATTTATACAGGTTTCAAACATTATTATCTACAATGCAAAGGGGAGAGAAAAAAATAATGCATTTGTGATCTGTCAATAGTGATGTACTACTTCTTGAAGTCAGTGCTGCCCCACCAAAGGGAAAGGATTCATTCTGGAAACTAATTCTAATATAAAATTTATACCAATACATGCTAGAGGGTTAAATGTTGATCATTCAGTTTTCCAGTACTTGCTCCTTTGTTGACAATTAAATTAATTCACTATAAAATTGTTTTGGGTAACAACAGTATTTAAAGGGATTAGAATCACATCTTTCTACATTTTACATCTAGATTTAGACATACTAGCAACCTTTAAGCATGTAAAAGGCAATTCATCTTTTAAAACAACATTTAATTAGCAATTGACTCATGACAAGGAAAATGAATTAAATTAGAATTATTAATGCTGATAAATTCAAGAATTAAATTCTCAGAATCTTTTATAAGTGTCGCATGCCTTAGAGTCCCACTGACTCTGGCTCGTCTTCACCTAGCTATGTCTCACACTCATTTGTCAGCGCTGCAGAAGTAAATAATCTAATCTAAAATCTAGAATTCTAAATTTTGGGCCTAGGCATTGTCCAGATGCAAAATTCAACTTGGTCATTTCAATGTGCAAGTCCTGTGAAGTGAATGTGTGTATATCTTTACTAATTATAACTCAGATGACTAAAGGTCTTCATCATGTTCCACCCTTTACAGTAGCTGAAAGCATGTGCTCTGTGCTGTGACCTTGAAATCAAATCATGAAAAGCTCATTTAGACACAATACGTTTTTCACTCAGTATCATTTATACCTTTTTGTCTATGATGAATTTGAAATGACTGTGAAATATACAGGAGAGAAAATGGCTGCAGATTTTCATTTAAATCAGCAGTTGCACAGGAGAAACATTTAACACTGGCAACTCCAAATACTATCAACTCTGTCTCAGCACAGCAGTAACAATTCTCAATCTGGAGAATAGACAGAATGGCTGCAAATCAAAATAACTTTATTTGTACAGCTCTGCTAAAGATGGATCTGCTGATACAAATATACAGAGAAAAATAAATCAACTATACTCTATCCGTGTAGTTGCATGTATCTACACATACCTACTTATCTGTGTGGCTAATTTTTTCTACAGCCTGCACAATCATTGAATTCTAGAAACATATAAATGGGCTTGGAAAGCTTCTCCAAGTTCTGTCCAGCTGTAGGAAACCTTAGAAAGTAGTCTAGTTTTGCATCTGATTTTCTTGGGACACAGTTTCAGTCTTAATTGAGCTATAATACTGTGAACATAATGTCAAGAACTAAGTTTATCGAGACCACATAGCCCTTTTTCAGCTGGTGTGTTCACTGTCTGGAAAAAAAAAAAGCAGGATAGTTAAGTTCACCAAGGTCTCTTCCATCTTTCTTACAATTCTGTCTGTGTTAAAAAAAAAAAAAAAAGGAAAAAAAGCCACAAACAACTGCATACAAGTGACTTTTCAGCTGTTGGCAGAGGACTTGAATGAATTCACGTGCTGCGTAAAAATATAAACGTACAACTAGAAGAAGTACCAAAACCTATCAATCACAGGAAAATTTACATTGAATAGTCTGGATCATTTACACCCAAGGACTGTTTCTCTACGTTAAATTACACAGAAAAATCTAAAACCAGTGCTGGCACTTTGAATTAATAGGAAGAATGTTCAGTAGCAACACACAATCAGGAGTGGTTCTGATCAAGAAATGTGAAAAGAGGTTACTCGATAGAATTATTTTTAAGATTTGTGAAGTTTTTAGCTGTGGCAGGATGTCCTAATAAATTAAAGCTTAGCAAAAGAAAAAAAAAAAGTGGGAGTATTCACCATTATTAGAGTTTGCTTTCAGAACATAGCAGGTGTTATTAGCCGCAGAGAGAGAGCACTGATGGAGAGAGCAGTGGAAGCTTTCTGTAGTCTGTCGTTCAGAGAAGTTGGACCTTTATTATTTCTACATTTGTACACTATTTGTGCAAGATAATATTCTGGCTTTGCAGAAGGTGGAAACCAATTTAACTTTCTGTATAATTCACTCTGATGGGTTTTGTAATCACACTGCAAAATGAGCCTAGCTGCTGTATTATACAATACTGATACTGGCTTATGTGCTGCAGAACTAGTCTCTCTCCAAATAATGTCATAGTATTCTAAATGAGAAAATATAAAAGCCCTGACAATGCTTTTTCTGCAACTGCAACTAAGACATCTTCCAAAATGGCTAATAAAGGCAAGCTGAAGCACAGAGTTTCTGGCAGAGTCTTGTAAATGTGCTCATTAGCATCGCGCCACAACTATTCCTTCTTTTATCTCCTCCTATCCCTCCCCCATTGCACAAATTAAACTAGTGAAATGAACAAAATTAAAATCTCACCCTTCTCTTCAGTGGAGATATGTAATAATTTACAAAATTCCCTTTCTTCTCCTTACGCTATTTCACATGCTTGCTTGAATGAGGTCTGTGTGATGATGAAAGACAGAAGGGATGTTCAGAGGTTACCTGGTTCATTACATGAATGGAGAAAGAATTTATGGTACAAGGGCAGTAGTACACTCTCCTCAAAGTTTTGTCAAAGTAAAAATATTGCAGATATTCCTCTAGAGAATTGTCATTAGACCACATATATCCAGGGAAAGATCCTCCTCAAAGGTATACAAAATAGAACTGTTATGCTGTGCACTTGCAATGAACTAAAAGTCTGATACTGATGTATCAAATTCCTATTCATGAAGTGAACACAGGCCTTCTGTAGTAGGTATTTATATACAGACTCACTCCATGGTGCTCATGAACACATAAGATTTGTTTCTTTACTGATGTGAAAAGGTTCCTATTTATGAAATTTAGAATAGACTGCCAGTAAGACAGAGGGCAAGTAGCATAGATAACATGATAAAAGGATGGATGATTCTGGAATGGGTCCTCATTTTGTATCTTACGTGGGTCTTTGTAATGTCTAACTCTAGCTCTGATTTTTCACCTTCAAAATATTTTTTTAGCAGCAAAAAGTCAATTCCCTGCTCTTCATGACAGCTTGGTTTTTGTATTATAAAATGGTCTTGTGTTGGGGGGAGGTGTCTTTTGTCATTTCTCTCTTTGTTAAAGCGGCTTTCACTGATGGCAGCATGACACAGTTCATTCTGCCAAGTTTCACATGCTGGCAGTTTTAACAATTAATGTGAAAATAAAAGACATGCATTTTTTTTAACTGAAATCTTATTTATGCAATTAGAAGCAATGCAAAATCAGTTGAATTACCTTTAAAATAAACTCCAACAGTCCCACATTTCCAGCCATATATTTGATCACTTTTTGGACTCATTTTCAAATACACTGGTATACCTGGAGTCATGTGCAATTGGTACAAGTTTTACATGCGAGGGAATAGCTCAGTCTCTTTAGACATTGTTGAGGAATAAGTTTCCTATATTTCATCAAAAAAGTATGTGATGACTTAAACCTATGGACAAGGAAAGGACAGGTATTTATAGTCAAAACCACAAGCGTAAGTAGAATCCAGAGCTGAATTCACAATCCCCGTCCAGTGATTCAGCTGTGAGATACAGGTAAGAGGACAGGTGATTAGAGGTACATAGCACATTGGCAATATATACAACCTCACCCCTTCCCACAATCAGGGGCTTTTGTTGCAACTATCAAGCATATGGTTATTTTGTAGGTTTCTTGAGGCAAGGCAGTATCCCAGCCTCCTGCCAGGTAAGTGTCATCACAAAGTGGTGAAGGTGGCCAGAGCCTGCCATCGACAGAGGGGTAGATGTGGCTTAATAGTCTTTGTATTAAGACAGCTTTTGCAGTCTTCCAGTCA